ATTTCAGTTATTTTCCAGACACGCACTCCACCCTGAAACCACCCAGGATGCTGTCATCTATGAGCCTCATCCTTCTGGGCATCACCATCGCCCTAAGACCCCAGCATGCGTGGATCGTTCCTCAGCCTCCAGCAAAAGTTCCAGGGCTGAGGACGTCCTCACTTCCATCGCTGCAGGATGGCTGGGGTCACTGTTTGAAGGATGAGGACTCTCTGGGTGGGTTCAATCAATTTTAAAAACAGGACTTCTACTGCTGCTGGGACACATTGTGTTTATCATAGGCTTCAGCGTGGTGAAGAGTTTAATTTTAAAAGCAATTAACTCCACCATCAGTGTCAACCACGCTGCATTGACAGCGCCTTACGAACTGGAACCATTAAATCAGGAAGGGTTCCAAGAAGAAGAACTTCCTGAAGAAGACAACATCTAGTTTCAAGATGAGCCCAGAGACTGTGCAGCCCCCGTTTAAAGACTCATTTTGCCCATTTCCCCTTTCTTTTTAAACAAAAAAAGGAGGAGATGTGGAGTTGCGTTATTTGTATGTTTTATTATCCCTGTATTATGTATCGGGTTATTCCTTTGTACCCCCATGTACAACTTGGTTTGTCCCCAGTTTTCCCGCCTTGTCCTCCCTTCCCGCCTCTCCAGTGGCTGTCCATCGCCCTGGAAGGGGCGCAGTCTTTCCCTTTACCCCCCACCGGGTGCCTTGTCTATCACTCGGTGCCCCTTCCCATCCATCCAGAAGCTTCTACTCAGGGCACCGGGTGATTGGGCGAGAACCTGGGGCTCCCCCCATATCCTTCCCCCATTGGACCACACCATATCACCCCATCCCGGAGCCACTCCCTATCCCTATCCCCATCAGTCGTCGGTTACCCCTCCCTTACAATTTATAAGCCGGTGCAAGCACCTTGTACTTGTTCCTGTTGGCAGGCACCGTTCTAGGATATTTGGCCCCGTTGGGCTACAATAAACTCGGACTTAGCCCCCAGCAGGATCCGCTCTTCATTTACCACCGCGAGGCTTGCTAGCGCTGCCCGGAACCCACAAAGGCACTCTCCAAACCCCAGCTGGGACCAGCGGAGGGTGCCTCCATCGCCCGCCCTCGCCCCAGGACGAGAGCTAGCCGGGGCTGAGATCAGGGATCTGGGGCGGGAGCGCGGCAAGATACTAAACTGTTAGAGAGGATCCAAAGAAGGGTAACGAGGTTGGTGAGAGGGGAAGCTGTATAAGAAGTAGCTGAGGTCACTTGGTTCATTCAGTTTGGTGAAGACAAGACTGAGATGAGACCACATTGTTGTCTTCAACATCCTAATGAGGGGAGGAGAAGGGGCAGGAGCTAGTCTCTTTTCTGTGGTGACCAGTGACAGGACCTGAGGGAATGGCCTGAAGCTGAGTCAGGGGAGGTTTAGGTGGGATATCAGGAAAAAGTTTTTCACACCAGTGGGTGGTTGGGCACTGGAACAGCTCCCTAGAGAAGTGGTCACAGCACCAGCCTGACAGTTCCAGAAGCATTTGGGCAGTGCTCTCAGGCACATGGTATGACTCTTGGGGATGGTGTTGTGCAGGGCTAGGGAAGGAATTGGAATTGGAAGTGTTGATCCTGCTGGGTGCCTTCCAACTCAGCATGTTCTATGATTCTATGTGGTTTAATGGCTTTGTTGCATTGGTGTAAATTTAGTACTTTTGCTTATTACAGTATAGTATTATTGCAGAACATCTTCAACTTCTCAAACTTTACTGGTGTCTTTGTTTATGGTGTGACTCTTAGAAGTTCAGTTCAAATGAAGAATTCAGAGTCCTAAATCTATGTGTAATTTATGTAAACTGTAAATGAGGTCCCAGATGCCGAGAGGTTACATTTTGTCAATTAGTGTCTTCTGATATTGCAGGGAAGGTTCATAGTATGGACCAGGATGTTACACTAGTGGTTTGTAAAGGAACAACAACACTTTTGGGGTTAAATACTGTTTCTGTTTAACTTTGTGTTAAAACTGTCAATACTGAGATGAAAATTCCTATCATATCCTTCCACTTCTCAGAGAATGTGTCAAAACAGTTACTTTTTAGGGAAGGTCTTGATTTCTTTATGAAGTATGCAGACACTCTGGGCAACAAACCTGTGCTAGATTGAAGGCAAACCAGCAGAAGGAATTAACTCCACACAGACATGTTGTGAGGGATTCCAAGTAAGAATTACAATTTAATAGGAAAAATTTGCAATAAAGGCACTAGTACAAAGACAGTGGCTTAAACTGACAAAATCAGAATATGACCCTGTTGGTCAGGGTGGTGGCAGCTGTCCCATTGGAGTGAGGGATGTGGTCTTGTTGAAGCAGTGATCCTGTAGAAATGTTGGTCCTTCTTTGGAGGTCCAGTGGTGATTATTGAGAGCTCTTTCCTCTGGGAGTCCAGTGGTGATATAATGGTGTCCCAAGTGCTAGATTATACAGAGGTAGAAATGTTAGTTACATCCTCCTAGACATCTCAAAATGGGACAATGTAATTCTGTGACTCATTCTGGGGAGTCCTTGATGGCCCTGCTTTAGGCTGTGTGCGCATTGGGCAGCTATTGCAAACAACTGACCATTAACAGCTCATCAGAAGGTGCCATAGGTGGTGATAAAATGCATACCTTACATTGTAACCCAAGACAAAGCCCTAACCTAGAACAGGTTTCATTAATATTTTTAAGTTTTTTGCTTTGCCTGACTAATCCTCTAGTATTATGCCTATCGTGTGCTCACAGCTGTACTGTTCACTTTCATCATCCTCATCACACTTTGAATTTGCAATGATGAAAACGTTGTTATCTATCATGACCAATTATTTATGTTATTCATTAATATTATTCATTAAGACATTCATGTCAGATCAGAACTTCCTACATAAGCAACTTGTTGCTTTCCAGCAGAAAGAAAAACTTTAAAGCAAAAGGCAAATGAAATGAGCCTAGGTGAAGCTCATGACACTTGTGGCCATGGAATGGTACCGTAAAATACACTGAGAGCCTACTTCAAACATAGAAGGCCATCCTTGGACAACAATTTTAAAAGGACAGTAGTTAAAAAGTAGTGTGGTGATCCTCTTCCTCAGCCATAGAGTGGATGTGAGTTGTCTGAAGTGCAGACCTGGAGTTTAAAAAAGTTAACATATATTTAATTTAAAAGTTGTCACACTGTCTACAAAGGGCACAATAGTGATTTCGTATTTGCTAAGAAATACCAAATCTTGGTTTTATAAAAAGTCTGGGCATTTCTCACTTACTGTTGAATTTGATTAAGGAAATGTTCCAACTTAGCATGTAAGTTTCAGTATCTTTGAAGGCTCTAAAGAGATAAAGAAAAGTTAAGCATACTGTTACATAGCTGTAGAAGTTGAGGCATCAACAATAAGAAAATATCCTAAAAATCCATGTTAAAAGCATGAACAATGATGGGACAGAACATTTTTGAAGACATACAATGCTGTGTGCAGAGGTAAACCTAGATTTTGTTACATTGTTGAAATAATGTTGAAATTTCTCAGTTTAGTAATTAAAACTTTTGAATTTAAAGACGTTTTTCTGCCTGTATAAACTCTACTCAGGAGTTGATTTAAAGCTGCTGTGGGTGTCTTGTCTGGAGTTACACCTGCCTGGTCTGCCATTAACAACATCTCACTAATGATGCTGGGAGTTCCCTGCACTGCTTTGCTCATTGCTGAGTTGAAGAGGTAAGTACAATTCTCCAGAATGCAGGCAGCGTTGCCTCTCAGATCCTTAGGACACCATGAGATGATACACTATATTTGGCTTCAGTGCACATGACAGCAAATCAGAAATGCTTCTACCACAAGCAAGAGCAAATCTAGTATATATTTTCTTGGCAGTTGAGGCATTTTTTGACAAGGATTTCTTTTCCCTAGGACTTTTTAGTAGGTCAGATATTTTCTGTGTTCTTGCAATATACCGCTTGCTGCATTTAACTCAAATTTGTTTATTTATTGTGAAATTAGGGCCCGGGTTTCACTTTATGAACAGCATTTTTACTGTATAGTGTGCATAAGGGTGAGGTGATGGCATGGTTGCAGTCTGGATGCTAGTGGGAGCAAGGCCCAAGCACATGTGGAAGATGTTCCAACTCCCAGAGTTGTACTGTGAGTCTTGCATGACTTTGTCATCTAGTATGAATAATATGATGGAGTCAGAGTGACAAAGATAAGGTTGATCACTACATTTTGAGGGATAGGTGTCAGTCACGGCTGTAAAAATAATAAAATCAGAATGCAAATAGAGAACAACCTGAGACTGATTTCCATATTTTAGAGAGTGTTCTGTTATAGTGATACCAGCAGCTGTCCAGAGATTTTTTTTTCCCATCTCTTCACCCACAGCAAAAAGGATCAGAGGAGTACTAGGATTTGACCTTGTCTTTTTTCACCTCTTCTCCACTCTCTGAGAAAGATTACACTTTCTGTTATATGTTGCATATGTCAAAACGAGTTAGAAGAAAATGTCTTCATTCTAATTGCATATGTTAGAATAGAGACTTTTCTCTTTGCTACATTACCCTGATCTGCCACTGCTATACAATGGAAGCCTCTCCAAACAATGTTTTCTAAAGGGAGGGGGAAAAGTTGCTTTTGTTCCATGCTGAAGTTTTTGATATTTTAGACCAAAACTCCTTGTTGTTATTTCTATTCTAGGCTGTGTCAATTTTTTATGGAATTTTGGAGAATCAAAACCACTGTGTTTTAAAACCAAAATTTTCTGCTTTATGTTTGTCTTTAATGAGGAAATAATATTGTCACAAAAGAGCATTAAGATCCTAGATGTGGACCTAGTAAGGTAGAGTGTATGGCTGGGAAGTATTGTGGGTAGGAGGTGATCAAAAGAGCAAAAGGTAGTCATGTCCTTGAAAGACAAAGAAATTGTACAACTTTATTGTCATTTCTGTCACAAAAAATTCCTTCCTATGTTTCTTAAAAGAAAAAGCTCTACTAGAAGATGGTATCAATGGGAAGGTGGATGTGTATCCTTTGATTGTCTTAGTCCAAGCCATTGAGATTATAATGTCATCAAATTAGTACCTATTTAGGGAGGCAACTTCCTCCATGTGCAGATAGATGCTAGAATATTGTTGCTCAGCTGACTTCTGAGCCTTGAACAGTGAAGATTTACCTTAGTTTCTGGTCTGACCATTAGTATTTGATTCTTCTATTAGAAATCTCACTGTGGTGGGAGCCTTGCTTCATTATTGCTTCTTCTTTTATTCCCTTGCCTAAAAGGTTAAGCTAGTTAAAAATATTCCTTAGGATTTAAAGGGAGATATCTGTGTAAAATTCAATCAGCCAACATTGCACTGGTTTGAAGAAAAGCTGGAATGCTTTTTTGGGGGTTTCAAGACATTAGAAGACAATGCTGCTGGAAGTGTGTATGTAAGTGTCCCTTAAATATCATATGATTGGACGTCACAAGTGTTTGCAGAAATGCCAACATTTGAATAAGTATATTTTGTTAAACAGAGAACATTGTGCATTGTGTAGATGAAAGGGGAAATGGAAGTGCAAGATTTGTGGGATCCATTATCTTTCAGAATAGAGTAGGATAGGATCAGGACAGCATGACTGTGTCTTTTAGACCTGCAGCTAACAAGTCCTATTTTAGTTCTTATCAGTGTCTATGTCTGTTGAGAAATAAAAGAAAGGCTACATGTCTAGGTGGTATTTGCATTACTCTTCATTGTAGTACTGTGGCTTTGCAGTCTCCAGCTTCCTCAGCAAGCATGTCCTCACCTCATCTGGAGCAGTTACTGCAGAAACTGAAGACTCCATGATGGGTGATCTCAGAAAACCCAGGAGTATTACAGAAATCAGCAGGCTGTGCTACTCTTGAGATCTTTCCACCTTAAAGTAATCCTTTGCAGAACACTCTACAACGTAGTCTTAAGTTTATAAAAGTAATTTGCAGTATGTGATGGTGGTACTGAGCAAACCTCTCTTTACAGTCTGTACCATTGCTATGGCTGATCTTGTACTGGGTAAGTAAGCCTTCAGTTTTCCTTTGCAGTCTTGAATTCTTTGAACCATGCAGGTTACTTGCCTTTTCCATTTGGAATTCAGGTAGTCAGGTCCTGACTAAAAGACCTTAAGTTTGAGGCCAAACCTCTTATCTTAAATGAGACGCAGTTGCATGTGTTTATCTCCTTCAGATATGTCCAGGAAACCCTAATTTTCTCAATACACACACCCTTTCCTTTGTCAGAATACACAAGTATTCCATCTCAATAGTCTAGTTTTATCCATCAGATAAACAAAATTTATTCATGTGCCCTTCTTAGGAGCCTGGATTAGTGCTGTTAGGAACAGTAGTACCTCTCACTGAGGAATATAAATGCCTTACCATTAACAGAAGTCTTTATAGAGTAACAGATATAAGCAAATCTGAATATTTGCTGCATGGCTGGTTGTTAATGAACAGCACGTGTAACTAATCACTAGTTACACCTCTTCCTAGATATAGGAATAGTTTGATGTTTGCCCACCATTGGTACACTGGTATTCAAGACAATACCCAAAACACAGGGTACTTTTTACTGATAAAAATTTTTGTGTTGTTACCTCAGCTCTGCCTTGCCTCAGAGCCAGACTGTAAGTGAAGTTAATCTGTTAAATACATTTGTGGTGGAGTCATTTTAATGATGCATGTCTGGCATTGTTTTATAACTATTTATTTATGTTTTTCTCCTTAGGTGTGAAAACCTGCGTGTACACAAACTGTGTTTCTTTTCAGGTCTTTGGTGGATGTTAGCTCTTTTCTGATGGATCAGTGACAAAGCTTTTTGTGAGATCTGGTCCTCATTCAACTTTCCCTATTTGCACTGTGTATGGTAAATGCTGTGTATAAAGTCCAGAGTTTGATTCAAATGTGATCCATTCTCCCCACATTACCCTTCTGTGCTACTTGGTGGCTATTTCTGTTTAATTATAAACAGAATATATAAGCCCAGAACAAGTCTTGTGCTATTCAGGCTGGCAGATTTACTCCGGATTGTATTCTTAAGCCACTAGGTTCATTAATTATAACTGAATTCCTTGCCGTACTGGTCACTAAAAACATAGCTGTGACTATGAAAACTTAAAGTGCCATTGAAAATGATGGTATGAAGATCAGTGATGAATGAAGATTAGTGATTAATTAATGATGGTGAAATGGAGAAGCAGTAAAGGGCTTTGATGCCTTTCCTCTTTTACCACCCAACAAATCAGTTACTTACTTGAGGTGCCATATCTCAGCATTTCTGCACAAATCTGACAGGTGCAGAGAAGCCAAAAAAAGCCTGGAGCCTATTTAGACAAGAGATAAACTACAGTTTTGTAGTTGTCCTTTACAAATATTCTTTGCCCCCATGCAAAGGACAGACAGCAATCTTACGGGGGGCTTGTGAGAAGATGGTGAAGGACAGACTGATTTTAAAGTATGGTGGTACAGTTGATTGCTTTATTGAATTTATGTTACTGATGCTTTTTTTCTTTCCTTTTTTTCCTATCTTGGTGTGTGGGTGGCTATTCTCAGGCACATTTTGATTTGCCTTGCGGCATATCTAGGATCTGTCTGCTTTGCTTACTTTGATGCTACCTCTGAGATCCCTGAGCAGAGCCCTGTTCTGGCCTAGTGAAAGGTGGGCATTCATTGGAGTTCCCTATGTCATCTCTCTCTGTGCACACAAAAAACATCTGTAAAGATTACATGAACTTGGAAGCCATGGAATGGGGATGGATTTTCAACTTATATTCCAGCACAGACAATATTTACATAATATAAATGACTAGTGCTGTATTTTCTTTTCTTCCTAAGACAGCCATCACTTCAAGTGTCACAGAAAGAGGAGGGAAGTGTGTTCATTCCTCTCTGAAGAAGAGAGAGGAAGCAGGAACATGGGGGCATTGAACTCTAAAAGTAACAAAATGGCTTCTTTGTTTTTTGCACTGTATTTTTGATGTAGCATTTCTCTTGATAAAAGCTCTTTTCAAATAACAGGGTCAAGGAATGGTCTTTTTGTAGAAAGTCATCTTTGGTGCTTGATCCACTTCTTCTGTAACTTTCTTTCTGAAAGAAGACAGTCCAAGATGCCTACATGCTATCCTGTGTCCTTCTTAGCTCTGATTTTACTGCACTTACACATGGCCACAAGAGTGTGCTCGATGCCCATGCTGTTCCCAGCCTGGTATGGCACCCAGGCTGTGCATCGCTTTGGATCACAGAATATATGGTTGCTTCCCCAAGTACAACCGGAAATGAGTGTTTGCAGCTGGATTACTCTGTAAGTGCAATTAGGCAGTGTAAATGCAGAGGGAGCTGACAGAAGTCCCTAAAACTAGGTAGGAGTTTGAGGATTTTACTCTATTTCCACTGTCCTGTGAATACTTGCATGCTGCATATTTCCTTCTTGCAGAAATGTCACAGAATCAACCCCTCTCTACCTCTTGAGACATGTTTGATGTATTTGGCATTGAAGTGCTCACAGAAGTGTGAACATTACTTTCAGTAAGATCTCAGGTCAGCATTGATTGACAGTGTGATTAAACTATAAAATCTCATAGATGCCTAGCAGCACTCTAATTTGAGAGCTGACTTTGCACCAATGCATTGCAAGTGATCTCAAAAATAGTCCAGAGCTCTGCTGGTTATACTTAGGAAAAAAGTAGTTAACTGCTTAAAAACCAAGCTAAAGACCTAGATTTCAGTGAGCAGTGAGATGTAATATCGAATCTTGCATTCTTGCAAAAGATTCTTATTTTCTGTGTTTTTTCAGTCCATTTTGTAAAGATAAGGGATGTCTAGGTCCATTTAGTTTTAACATTATTGGGGTTGAAGTTCAGGAATTGCTATAGTTCTTGCAAGCAATTAATACAAGGCCAGTTTTAAAAAATGGTGCAAAGTTAGGCATGTTTTTCAAGTATGAGCAATTGTAGCTTCTAATCTCTGCAGTTTTGGAGAAAAAAGGGTCTACTCACATTCCTCAGAACTCTAATATCAGAACTCCAAGCAGGCTAAGGCTTTGAACATAAACTTTTATTAGTAAGTGTTATTTCCTTTTTTTGTATTAGACTATGAAATATGATTTTCTCTTTGGTTTACATGTCTTATGTTGTACTTGTTTTTTATCAATGCAAAAATGTTCTCTATACTGTATCTTCTTTATGAAAGTTGCTTTTAGCAAGAACTTTTGGCTGAATTAATTTTCAAGGATTTTGAAACCTTTAAAACTTTTGTATTAAAATTTATGCATAGAGAGCAAGAAGTAAGGTGTATGCTGATACTCTTGAAGCAAATTGTTAGTGGGAGATACAATTTTTTCACGAAACCTTCAAAATAGGTGAGTAGGCTACTGTCACATGACTGCCAAATAATAAAATCAGCATAAAACCTTTCCAGTGGAATAATACCTATTTATACCACTTGCTAGTAGGTTTGAAACATCTTTTTTTTTTGACACACAGTGATAAAATTTTTGTTAGAAACCTGTTTATAAAAATGTACATACTGATGTTTGTTATTCTTTGAAACACAGCTATGTTTTTCCTTTGCTTTCCTCTCCCCTGGTTTTGTAATGCTCAGCTTCAAACACTTCTCAGGAATTAAAAGTTCTATTGTTAGATCCTTATACAGATAGACTGCTGGCTGGAACCCAGATAAGTTTTCTGATGCCTAACATGGCCTTACTTGGAGTAAGACTTTTTGATAGTGTTTGCTAAATTATTATGTGATGGTAAGTAAGTTATTTTCAGTATTTCTTGGGAATCTAATAACGGCATACATAGTGTGCTGTTCAAAAAGACTGGAGCCTTTCTACTTAATATTTTGCTTGAAAGTAACCTCTGAATCAAAAGGTTCTACTTAATCTGCTGTCAGTTGCTGTCTTCTACTCTGCAGAGTCTGACTGCTCACAAAGAAGTAATTTTGTAATAAAAAAAAAAAAATCTCAGTAGGGCATTCAGCTATTGAAGAAGTAAATAAATGCAGATAACAGGCCAAGAATCATCTCCTGTATTTTTATTATCTAGCCTTTTTACCCTTTATGGGAGATTTTGTGAACAAAAGTCACTATTTCTTGCTCAAATCTTCAATGTAGAAATGCTTGGAGTATTCCTCTGTAGCAGCAGCACACCACTTTTAGATTTAGCTATTGCACTTTACATTAAATTAGCATATATAAAACTGAAACTGTATAACTACACTTATTTAAAAAAATAAAAAACCTGCAATTTTTCAAGATCTGCAGTTTTACAGATTGCACCTACACAATAAGATTAGTACCCAAAGAAGTATATGATTGACATACAGAAGGGTTTGTGCACTGGATCATACAGATTGATAGAGTATGCACAAGGAGCTGTATTACATTGCAGTATAAAGTGATTTATATGCACCTGCAGGTTATAAAGCCCCAGATGTTTTCTTTCCCTGCCGGCAGGAAGTGGGTTAGTTCCTAGAGTTTAGGTTCAATTAGTATTTTAGTCTATTTAGTGGGATGCAATACTGTATTGAGGGTATTGTAAATATTGACATGTAATATCTATCATTCCTTTCATGTTAAATTTAAAGGTTTTTTTTGAAAGGATGGTTAGTTTTCAGTGGTAGCAAATGCCCAATTCGCAGTAATTTACAGCACAATAAATACTCCGTAAGGAGTGACATAGGGTTGGGGGTTTCTTCCATCTCCATTTAAGTCTGTATACTAAATGTTTGTGGAAAACATGTAATACTTTGCAGTATTAAACTGTATTTGGAGTAAATATTGTTTGCTTTTTAATGTATGATGTTTGTGGAGAAGAATGCAGCTGCCAGTATAATGCATGAACTATAAGGATAATTGTTTCTTTACACAGTCATCAGCAATTCTGAATCAGTGAGAAAGAGGGAGACTGCATTAGATAGATGATCATTAATTAGTAAGATAGTGATTACTTTGTGTATCAAACTGGTTTTTGCAACTAGAACAAATATTTGAAAACTGCAAGCCTGTGAATCAGCAAAGACAAGTAGCAAGAAATGGTTAAAAATGAGTGGCCTGTATTTCCACAAATAGACAAAACTGGGTCAGAGCATGTACATCTGGGAGAACAAAGTGAGGATCTTTATCTTCATATATGTTGCCTAGGACTGTGCTTGGAACTTAAGGAAATAGAGATTGTGACTCCATAGTAGCCTGCCCTTCCCCTCCTGCTTCCCTTTTAACATGGTTCTCTCACTTCATGTAAAAGACTATTTTTGAGACATTCATGAATCCTCATAAGCAATTATAATCAAGCTAGAAATAGTTGTTGCATGAAAGCATAGCTGTAATTCAAGAATGTTACTCACTCAGAATTAATGTCTGTAGCAGTAGCAGCTAAAAATTCAAAAACAGCTGGTGGTTTGGTTCATACATTGTGTCATTCAGTCTGCTCTTATGTGGAATTTACAGACATGGTTTCCCATGGAGATGAGAGGAGCATCATCATATCACTGGACTTCCCTGATAGTTTCAGCGCTCCATGCTTATTTTGTCCAAATCTGACAAAGGCAAGAGCCTTGGAGGTAATTTTCTACAAGCTGTGTAAAAGATGGTCAGGTAGAAAAGCCAGGCCTATAAGACAACCTATGTTAAAATAATAGAAACTTACCCAGGAAGGAAATCAAAGTTGTGCTCAGGTTCTGGATTATGTTTTCCTGTGGTTTGTACTAGCTACAGCATCTGGAGCTCCTTACACATGGAAGGAATTTCACATGCTTCTGTTCCAGAGATAGAGGAATTACTTTCTTGTGTAACTCACAAAGATCAACATTTTGCTCAAAGCTTACAAGGCAGAAACTCCCCCAAGAGGTTGGCTGACAAATGTCTTGTATTGCTATGCTCCAGGCTGTCAGTTAAGCACAGTGCAAGCTGAGAAAGACTGCAGTTTGAAGGAGGTGACTTCCATGTCACAAACTCAGGAATCATAAAAACCTGTTTGTAAACTTCCAGCATGTAGTGAGGAGGTGAGTAGGTGTTGGTTAAAAACAAGTCGTGTCTACCTAATTTAGTTTTCTTCTACAGGGTATTTTCTGTCCATGTGGCTATAGAAGAAACTGTACTGTTAGATTTTGACACATAATCATTTTAGCATGGTTTGACAGGACATTATTATAAAAGTGCTGGGAAATCTGTTTTGATAGAAGTTCTGTCTGTGGATTTGTGTAAAATTGTTTGAAAAGCTGTTCCTGAGATGTCCTAGATGATCCATTATAAAATCAGAAAAAGGTGTAGAGTGTACATAAGCAGAGTCCTTCTTGGGTCACTTTCTGTTTAATTGCTCAGCAGTGCATACATAAAAGTTACTGATAAAGTCTTGGAAGATCTGTGAATACCTGGAAAAAGAAGTCTAAAATTCAAAGGTTGGCTGAATTGTGAAAAAAAAAACAACAAAAAAACAAGAACAATGTCTTAAATCTATATAGTTATTTTTGACAATGCCAAATGCAGAATAACTAGAAAAGATGTTCTTAGTACAAGAACTGAAGGATTAGCATGGATCAGGAGCCAAATATAATACAATAATACATCACCTTATTAAAAAGAAAAACTCAAAACCATTCTGAAAAAAATCTTGTAAGAGAGGAAGAAATACTTTCCTTTAGAGAGTACCAATGAGGATTACCAGCAGTTGGAAAAAACAAAAGGCATGTATGGAGAAAGAACCTTAGTCTTAAAAACCAGTGTGAGATAGATATGAATATGATGCAAGTATGTAGAAGGAAGTGTGCAAAGATTTGTGGTATTTGGAGAGGGTAGGTGCAGGAAACACGGGAGTAGACTGTGGAGGGTCAGTATCTTAATGAAAATAGGTATTTCAGGAGCAATTGGAGAAGCTGTAGGTATTTGTATA